GGCAGGAGGCTTCATTTCCTTACTGTGTGGGCCTCTCCATAGGACTGCCCGGGGCATGGCCTCCCCCAGAGCCAGTGATGAGAGGCAGAGAGAGAGAGAAAGAGAGAAAGCCCAAGATGGAAGCTACAGTCCTATTATAACCAATCTCAGAAGTGACATAGCATCACTTCTGCCATGTGCTATTGGTCACAAAATTATGGAGGGGACTAGACAAGGGTGTGAATACTGGGAGGCAGGGATCATTATGGGTCAACTTAGAGGCTGGCTACAACATGGGGAGATACTTTAAGTCCAAGCAAATATCCTGGTCCTCATCAAAATATCTTCCTTAGCTTTTACATTCCTTGATGATTCTCACTTGAAGCCATCTTTATTATGATGGCTGCAGAATGAGTTATATACAGATTTAAATGAATTTTAACTCTAAGTTTGAAATTAAATAATGCATTTCACATTTAGTTCTCATTTAGCTCCCATCCTAACAACCCTATAGTTAGCCAAAGTTGATTCTAAATCCCTGCTGTTTCCACCTCCCCACTCTTCCACTCACATCATCAGCCATGCTGTCCTGGCTCCATTCTCTTTCTTTCTTTCTTCCTTTCTTTCTTTCTTCCTTTCTCTTTCTATCTCCTTCTTTCTTTCACTGTGCTGGGTCTTTGTTGCGGCATGCAGGATCTTTAGTTGTGGCATGCGGGATGTTTTAGTTGCAGCATGTGAACTCTTAGTTGTGGCATGCATGTGGGATCTAGTTCCCTGAGCAGGGATCAAACCGGGGCCCCTGCATTGGGAGCACGGAGTCTTAGCCACTGGACCTCCAGGGAAGTTCCTCCATTCACTTTCAACATGGAAGGTAAGTAAGATCTGAGCAGGTGGTGTGGATTGTTTCCCATCTTCCTGGACTTTACACAAGCACAGATCTAGTCCAGGACAGGTTGAAAGATTAAAGATGAGAATCCATTGGAAGCCCTTCTGCCAGTAATTTCTGCAGGATGAAGAAATATGATTGGATACTCTACCTCCTGTTGAAGTTGATTTTCTCTCTCCCTTATGGCTAGAAGTTTACAGCTCTGTGGCACTTGGTGAGACAAAATTAAAATGCCCTCAGAGGCCTGAGTTCTTAGCCTGGAGTCCCCAATTCTTAACCTTTGCCCTCTGGAGACCCCTTAAAATTGTAGGCATCAGTGTGCCTACATACTGGTCATGTGCATCTGTCAGAAGCACCTGAGAAAATTTTTCTAGAGAGAGTTTATAGATTTCAGCAGGTGTTGAGAGCTGTCCCTGGCCCAGAAAAGGGTGGGGTCATCTGATAGTCTGGATGGGGGTCTCTTAGTGGTGGGTAGTACCCTGAAGGTGTCCCAACACCCAAGGTCTCACCTGTCTGGGCTCACTACTAGATAATGATAAACCAGGGCTCCAGTTTCTTTCCCACTAAGGAAGAGCCCTTTCTAAGCAGTGGGGGATCCACATTCATGCTCCAGGCATCTCCTTCTGTGAGGCAGATAGTGGGGGAAGGGGGTGGGTGGGGGTGGAACAGAAATAATGGAAACAAGCCCAACTGCCCTATAGCAAAAAAACAAGGAGGGAGGTCTGGCTTACTGTTCAGGCTTCCCAGTTTCAGTCCATTTTCCTCTAACTCACTCTTCTTTCAGATAGAGCATGTTATAGTAAATGAGCTTTCCAATTTCTTCATTATGTTAAATTCTGCTCTATCCTCTGAGATCACACTCAAGTCTAAGTGCATATTCCATGGGCACATGAGAAGAATGTGTATTCTGCTGTTGTTGAATGGAGTGTTCTCTATAAATGTCACTTAAGTCCAGTTTGGTTAATGGTATTCAGTTCTTCTATTTCTTTGCTGATTTTCTATCTACTTGAGTCTATTACGGAGAAAGGGATGCTGACATCTCCAACCGGAATTATGGATTTGTGTGTTTCTCCTTTCAGTTCTGACTTTTGCCTTGTGTATTTTGAAGGTCTGTTGTTAAGCACATGCACATCTAGGATTATTATGTCTCCTTAGTGAAGTGACTATTTTCACAATATGTAGTTACTCCTATTTATCCCTGGTAGTTTTCTTTGCTCTAAGTATATCTTGTCTGATACTAACATAGCCTCTACAGTTTTTTTAAATTAATATTTGCATAGGATAGGTCTTTTCCCATCCTTTTACTTTTAAGCTACCTATGTCTCTTATATTTGAAGTGAGTTTCTTATAGACAGCATATAGTTCTATTTTCAAAAAGTTTACTCTGACATTATCTTAATTGATGTGTTTAGATTATTTACATTTAATGTAATTATTGATATGCTTTGAGTTAGATCCACCATTTTATTATTTGTTTTCTCTTCTTTCCCTCTGTATTTTTTGTTACTCTGTTTCCCCTTTCCTGCCTTCTTTTAGGTTATTTGAATATTTTTTAGAATTCAATTTTAATTTACTTATTGTGATTTTTCACTATATCTCTCTGTATAGTTTTTTAAGGGCTCCTGAATGGATTACAAATGTATAGTTAACTTTTCACAGTCTGTCTAGAACCAATATTTTACCACTTCAATTGACAATCACCCATTTATGTCATAGTTGTCTTTATATACATAGATTTAAAATCCCATCAGAAAATGTAATTTTTGCTTTCGATCATCAGAAATATTTTAAGGAGCTAAAAGGAAGAATAGTCTATTATATTTACTCATATACGTGCTATTTCTATTGCTCTTTCTTCATTCCTGTTGTTTCTTTTGGTATTTCCCTTCTGTCTGAAGAATTTCCTTTAGCAATTCTTTTAGAACAAGTCTGCTGGCTATAAATTCTCTTAGTTTTACTTCACAGGAGAATGTCTTTATTTCACCTTCATTCTTTAAGGATATTTTCACTTGATATAAAATTCTAGGTTGACACATTATTTTTCTTTCAACAAATTAAAAATGTATCACTTTCTTCTGACCTCCACAGTTTCTCATGAAAAATCAACAGTCATTGAAATCATTATTCTCCTATATGTTGTATGTATGTCATTTTTCTTTCATTAATCTTAAGGATTTCTATTTAACTTAAGTTTGGTTGTTTGTTTTTTTGGGTTTTTGTTTGTTCTTTTTTTTTTTGCCATGCCACATGGCATGTGGCATCCTAGTTCCCTGACCAGGGATCAAACCCGTGCCCCCTGCATTGGAAGCATGGAGTCCCAACCACTGGACTGCCAGGGAAGTCCCTATTTAACTTAAGTTTTTAGAAATTTGATTATGATGTGTCTGGGTATAGGTTTCTTTGGGCTTATCCTGTTTGGGGTTTGCTCAGCTTCTCAAATATATAGCCTTATGCTTTTCACCAAACTTGGAGAGTTTTGAGCCATTACTTCTTCAAATATTTTTTGGCCCTGTATTCTTTGTCCTCTTCTCTAGGAATCTAGTGACACATATGTTAGCTCTTTTGTTGTTATCCCACAGGTCCCTAACACTCTATTTTTTTTCAGTCTTTTTTTCTCTCTGTTGTTCAGATTGGATAATTTCTTGATCTAGCATCAGATACACTGACTCTTTCCTCTGTCATCTCTATTCTGCTATTGAGTCCATCCAGTGGGTTTTTTATTTCATTAATTTCATTTTTCAGTTCTAAAATTTTCACTTGGGGATTCTTTATATTTCTCCTCCTTTGCTGCTATTTTGAGTTTTGTTTTAAGACTTTGCAGATCGTTCTTTTGAGCATTTTTATAAGAATTGCTTTAGTCTTTGTCAAGTAATTCCAACATCTGTGCCATCTCACTGTCTGCCTCTTGATTCGTTTTCCTATACGACTTGAGATTTTCATGCTTCTTTGTGTTGCCAAGTAACTTTGGATTGTATCCTGGACATTTTGACTATTTCCTTATGAGATGCTGGGTCTTGTTTAAATCCTATGGAGAATGTTGATATATTCGTTTCAGTAAGCAATCTGTATGTTTAGGTTCAGATCACAAGTTCCACTTTCCACAAGTTCCTACTTTCTATTAGGTGCCATTAGGTGCGCCACTCAGTGGTCAGTCTGAGACCTAGAAGGAGTTCTATCCATTAGCTCCATTCTCCAAATCTTTAGCATGCTAATTAGAATCAGATCCATGCATGTACAAACAGATGAGCCCAGCAGATCACAAACAACTTTATGGGGTTGCATTCCTGAGCATCATCCCTCTTCTAGTACTTTCCAGCTTCCTGTAGCTCCTTTTCATTCCTCCAGTCAGAAACCACCCACTTCTATGACTGTTCTGCCTCCAGGGCCAAGTGGCAGGAGGGGAGAGAGAGAGAACATGAAAGCAACGGTGTTTGATCTGCCCTTTTGTCCCTGCAGCTTCACTAAATGCAGAGGAATGTCGCCTTCCCTCAGAGTTTTGATTCCTGTAGTTTCCTGTTGCTGACCTCTCTCTGCCTTTGCTACCCTCACTGCAGAATTGCCTGGGGGCTGGTGCATGAGAAAATGGAGAAAATAAGCAGGGGGTTTCTTCCACTCTCTCTCTGAGCCGTAGGAGTGTTTTCTGCTCCTTGCGCCAGATCTAGAGGTTTCTCTCGGACCTCTTTCTGCCTGCACCATGGTGCTCACTTCCAAGTTTCAAGCTGGGTTGAGTTCAGGCCAGGACATACTAGAGGATAAAATGGAGAGCTCAAGAACTCGCCACCAATTAGGTGATACTTCAAATTCTGTGTTCTTCTCTGAGCCGCCTGATAATTCACATTGCAGAGTTGTCAAATAGCTATGCCATGCATTTTGTCCAGGTCTTAGAGTTGTGCTCAGTGCGAGAAAATGAGGTTGGTGCAGATGTCTGGAACCAGAACCTCTCAAGGTAGTTTTAATTTGCGTTATAAGCAAGGTAGTTGTCATTAAAAAAAAAAAAAACCCATAGGACCCAGATTGGGATTGTATAATAATTTCCTTGATTTCCTCACAGGGAAGGAGTCCTGGTGAGAGAAGATGGTGCAGTGCATGCGCGGGATGCTGTGCAGCTGAGCTCCATACTCTTTGGGTTTTGTAGGTACCATGGCTGAGGAAACAGCTCCAGCAGTTCTGGAGCGGCACCAAGGGTCCCTGTACTCCCTCTTTCCTGACCACCATGTGGAAAAGTACTTTGACCAGGTGGACATCTCCAATGGTTTGGATTGGTCTCTGGACCACAAAATCTTCTATTACATCGATAGCCTGTCCTACTCGGTGGATGCTTTTGACTATGACCTGCAAACAGGGAAGATCTGTATGTACTTTTTCATTATTTTTCTTAATATTGCTGGTATTTTTTTCATATGCATATGACTAGCAGGCTGCCTCGCCCTTAACCCATTTGAAAAGGCCCTTACTTTTCAAACAAAGAACTGCCTAATGTTATGATTCCAATATTGTAATGATTACACAGACTTGACTCTGCTGCCAGTCAAGCCATGGCTCTCAGCACAACTAAATATGGCCACAGTTTGCATAATATGGCTAGATCCTTAATCCTTTTTCTTGCAACCATCACTAGAAAGAGGCTCACTGTAAAACGGATCCTGTTCTACCAGCTGGTGCTTAAAGGCAAATAGTATACAACAGAATGGGACAAAAGAACAGAAAATTAGAGTTTGGGGTTGATATTTCTTATTTGTACTTTAGTTAACTATAGGCAAGTACTTAAAGACAAATTAACAACCTTTCAAAATGGAAAAGTAAAAAAAGTAGTTGCAGATTGTTCAACTCCACCAACGGATCTAAATGAGCCATAGTTGGAAACTGGGAGGAAAGCAATTATTGGAAAGAATTTAAAAAGGAGTGCTTGAAACTTTCATGAAAGGTGCCAGACCACAAGAGCAAAACCAATCATAAAAATGACTTGAAAAAAATCATGAGTCTCATGTAGATTTAATCAGAGGCTAAATATTCCAGCACAGATGTTTTGCTTTGAAATATGTAGTGCTCTTTTTCATGACTGTTTTTACCCACTTTACTTACACATGGTTTTAACATTTTTCCCCTTACACCTCAATCTGATTACTGTAATGACCTGGATTTTGTAGTGTAATGTTCCTCTGGATTTTGATGCTTGTTTTTTGTATATTATGATTCCCTTTAAGGCCGGCCAGTTGGTTTCAGAATACCCCTCTTTTCAGAAACAAGCTCTTCTAATATTTAGATAAGGTGATTTTGGAGCATTTAGTTGGGCAGAAACAGAACTCATGCACCTTGTTAGTTTTTGTGCGTGAACTGTTGGCAGCTCAAACCTGGGCCCTTGGCTCTGAGAGCGTGGAGTCCTAACCACTGTACCACCAGGGAATTCCCCAAAGTAGGCATTTTTGGAAGTAAAACAGCAAAGGTCTAACCACAGACTGAAGTGTGTCTGAGGTGGGCATGCAGGGCTTCAGTTCAGGTCCCTCAAAAATATCTTTTGTTATTTTATTAAGAATTCTGCTTTCTTTTTTCTCTCCTCCTCTGAAAGCTTAGTTAGCTGTGTCTGTACCCAAACTAAAGGGAGTGAATCCACTCCAAATCCTACAGTACAAATCCTTTGTTGAGGGGTGCCCACTCATGTTTTTAGACATTTTTAGAGTTAGGAATCCTCCTGAATCATCCCACCTGTGGTACCCATTTGCCAGACACTGGATAAGCAGAAGCGATCAGTATTTATAATCAACTTGATTGCTCATTGTTTGATGCTCAGTATTGAGTGGCCTGTGGTTTTGGGGGGTGTGTGTGTGCTTGGTTTGTCTGTTTGTTTGTTTTTTTAACCATAGCCAACCGCAGAAGTGTTTACAAGCTGGAGAAAGAAGAACAAATCCCTGATGGAATGTGTATTGATGTTGAGGGGAAGCTCTGGGTGGCCTGTTACAATGGAGGAAGAGTGATCCGTTTGGATCCTGAGACAGGTAGGCCCACAGCAGAATGGAAAAACCCCGCCATGTCTAGAAAACACCAGACGCTAGGGGCCAGAGAAATTTCATTACTAATAAAGTTATATAGAGATATATTCAAAGGTCTCAATTGGATGATTTTGGAAATAAAGGCCAAAGATATAGCCCAAAATGTTATAGTCAGAACTCTTTTTCCTGTAGAGGTAAATCTTTTTTGCCCAGAAGAAATTGTCAGGGAAGGTAGGTGAAATACCTGGGCGAAGTCTGACCTCCAAATCTTCTTTGAACTTTCCTATTGCTCCACAAGGGGTCCCGAAAAGTTGTGCGGGTGGAAATTTGCTAGAGCTAGACTTAAATGAAATATTTGGTGACCTAGGGAAAAGACTCCGAACTGTGAAGTTGCCTGTTGTTAAAACAACCTCATGCTGCTTCGGAGGGAAGGATTACTCTGAAATGTATGTGACCAGTGCCCGGGATGGGATGGACCCCGAGGGTCTACTGCAGCAACCTGAAGCTGGTGGAATTTTCAAGGTGATCTGGCTATATCTTTTATTTTGAGGGTGAGATGGGAGATCTTCGGTTAAGTAACTGAATGATTGGTGCTTTTTCATACTTCCCAAATACAATTGTATTTGGCATTTAAGCTCATCATGCTAGACTTAAAAACATTTTATTGAGATTTTCTAGACCTGAAGTCCAGGACAATGTGTTTAGCCCACTTTGTACAGTGCTTTAAAATATTTTTTTGCTTCAGTGGTGTTTGAAATTCTATAAATCAGTAGAATAGGCTTGGAAAACCAGTGTTTGAAACACATTTATAAGATTAGTTGATTGTTTTGATGTTGCAAGAATATTTTCAGGTTCTTAACTTTTTTTGGCAGTGAAATAAACACTGATAAGAGTTATAGATCTCTTGAGCTGAAAAGAAATGTAGAAATCATCTGGCGCAAACCCCTTTCTTAACAGATGGGAAGAAGATAGAAATAAATTCAGTTTTCAATCCTAGTTGTAAATGGTTGCTAGTTGAATTATTATCTATGTGAATAATTGGGTTGGACCATAAATACCTAATCAAATAGTTCCTTTTTATTATAGGAAACAAAACAAGGATAATAGGTGGCTAAATATATTATTGTGGATCATAAAAATGTTTTTGGAGAATACTTGTGAATTACCTTGTATCAGAGTTTCTCTCTTTTCTTTTTTTAACAGATAACTGGCCTGGGGGTCAAAGGAATTCCTCCCTATCCCTATGCAGGATGAGTGACAGGCCTTCCTTCATAGTGGAAGAGACTTAGAAGACAACTAGAAAATTCTGGTGCTGAAATTTCAGTCTAGTTACAAAAAAAAATGAAGCAATGATATTAATAGGATTAAATTTTTAATTACAATTTTTAAAACATAGAGCATTTTTTTTTTTAAAGGTTCACATGTTTATTACAGAGCTACACAGTGAGCAGTGATGAGGAAAGCTCAAGAGGAGAGAGCATCAAACACAGGCAGCTGTTCCAGACACTAGTGATGTTCTGATAATGTGTGTGAATTCATATGTGAGGCTCATTATAGACCCAGCTTGGTTCTTCTCCAATGTCTTCTCTTAGAGTTGTACCTGATTTTATTACCAGTTTTCATTCGAATCCATTGGGGAATGGGACGATTCTGCTTTTGTTTCTTAGCCAGAAATCGCTTGATCCTGAAAGTCTTGTGAGAAGACATGGCGATGATCAAATCCAGCCGCAGATAGAATGGAGGACAAGAGAAAAGAGGGCCATAGAGCATTTTTAACAAGGGGTGACAGGTGGTTTTGATAACATACTATAAGGCCTTCTGCAAAAGTGCTATAGAAATATAGAGGTGTTCAACCGTCAACCAGCCTCTTGATTCTTTGCAAATTGCTGGTGGAATCGGGGAAGGGGGAAGGAACCATATTTGTTCTTTACTCTGCATTCGATACTTACTATACCTAAAGCTTTAAAACATTAATAAATAGTAGTCTGGTAATGACTTGCTATGATTATGTTCCTTTTTATTTTCATCATAATCTTATAAAATATGCTGCAGTGCCTTCATATTACTTTTCCTGTATGTTATTTTACAAATTAAAATATTGCTGGAGGATAAGAATCAAACATTTTGGCAAAATCTATGGTTCCGACTGCCACCTAGTAGATGTAATGTATCACTTTGGAAAGAATACTTTAAAAGTAGCCTTATTGGGGCTTCCCTGGTGGCACAGTGGTTGAGAGTCCGCCTACCGATGCTGGGGACACGGGTTCGTGCCCCGGTCTGGGAAGATCCTACATGCCGCGGAGCGGCTGCGCCCGTGAGCCATGGCCGCTGGGCCTGCGCGTCCGGAGCCTGTGCTCCACAATGGGAGAGGCCACAACAGTGAGAGGCCTGCGTACTGCAAAACAAAAAACAAAACAAAACAAAAACAAAACAAAAATAGCCTTATTGAGTTATAATTGACCTACACATATTTAAAGTGTACAATTTGATAAGTTTGACATATATATACACATTAATGAAACCAACACCTCAAGTAAGATAATGAATCTATCCACTACCCCAAGATTTTCCCTGTGTCCCTTTGTAATCCTTCCCTTTGGTCCTTCTGTATGCCTGCCCCCATCCCCAGGAAACCACTGATCTGATTTCTGTCACTATAAATTAGCCTTAAAATTGGGTACTGTGATTTCTCCAACTTTGTTTTATCAAAATTGTTTTAGCTCTTTTAGTTCCTTTGGCCTTCCATATAAATTTTAGAATCAGCTTGACTATATCTACAAAAAAATCCAGGGGCAATTTTCATTGGAATCGCTTTAAATCTGTAGAACAATTTGGAGAGAATTGGCATCTTTACGATTTTGAATCTTCCAACCCATGAACATGGCATGTCTTTCCAATTATTTGTCTTCTTTGATTTCTTTCATCAGCATTTTGTAGTTTTCAGCATACAGATATTTGTTTTGTTCTGTTTTTGTTTTTGGCCGTACATGCAGCATGTGGGATCTTAGTTCCCCGACCAGGGATCAAACCCCCGCTCCCTGCAGTGGAAAAGTGGAGTCTTATCCACTGGACCGCCAGGGAAGTCCCAAGCATACAGATCTTGTACATGTTTTGTTAGGTTTATATCCAAGTATTTCATTTTCTGGAGCTATTGTGTTATTATTATTTAAATTTTTTGTTTCCAGTTGTTCATTGCTCATTTATGGAAGTATGATTGGTGTTTGTAGCTTGAATTTGTATCTAATGACTTTGCTAAACTCACTTATTAGTTCTAAGAGTATCTCTATAACTTCTCTGGGATTCTTTGGATATATAATCATGTCTTCTGTGAGTAGACAGTTTTATTTTGTCCTTTCCCATATGTATATTTTAATTTCTTTTTCTTACCTTATTGCACTGACTAAAACTGCCGGCATTACGTTGAATAGGAATAGTAAGAGTGGATATCATTGCCTTGTTCCCAATCTTAGGAGAAAAGCATGCAGTCTTTCTTCAGTAAATATGATGTTAGCTGCAGAATTTTTTGTAGATGCCCTTTCTTAGGTTGAGTAAGTTCTCCTCTAGTCTAGTTTGCTGAGAGTTTTTATTAGTAGTAGTATTTTGGTTTTTTATTTTATTTTATTTATTTATTTTTTATTTACTTTTGGCTGCGCTGGGTCTTCCTTGCTGCACACAGGCTTTCTCTAGTTGCGGCAAGCAGGGGCTACTCTTCATTGTGGTGCACGGGCTTCTCACTGTGGTGGCTTCTCTTGTTGTGCAGCACAGTCTCTAGGCGTGTGGGCTTCAGTAGTTGTGGCTCGTGGGATCTAGAGCGCAGGCTTAGTAGTTGTGGTGCGTGGGCTTAGTTGCTCCGCGGCATGTGGGATCTTCCTGGACCAGGGCTCGAACCCATGTCCCCTGCATTGGTAGGTGGATTCTTAACCACTGCGCCACCAGGGAAGCCCAGTAGTAGTATTCTGGATGTATTTTATCATTTTTTTTCTGCATTTGTTGATAGCGATCATATGGTTTTTCTTCTTTAGACATTAATATGATAGATTTTTGCATCCTTGGGATAAACCCCGCCCTGGGTGGTGGCATATTATTCTTTTTATATATTACTGGATTCAACCTTCTAAAATTTTGTTGAGGATTTTTACATCTATGTTCATCACGGATATTGGTCTCTAGTTTTCTATATTTCTAGTGTCTTTGCCTGGTGTTGATATCAGGGTAAGACTGGCCTCAGAAAATGAGTTAGAAAGTAGTCCCTCCTCTTCTATTCTCTGGAAAAGATAGTGTCTATTTATGGTTATTTATTCTTTAAACATTTAGCGAAATTCACCAGTGAAGCCATTTGGACCTGGAGATTTCTTTTTCAGAAGGTTTTTTAAACTTTCCCTAATAATTATAGGACTACTCGTGTTATCTATTTAATCTTGGTGAGGTTTGGTAGTTTCTGGCTTTCAAGGAACTATTCATTTTCGTGTAAATTGTCAAATTTATGTGCTTAGAGTTGTTCATAGTATTTCCTTATTTTTTTTAATAATGTCTATGAGGTTTGTAGTAACATCCCCCTTTATCCCTGGTACTGGCTATTTGTGTCTTCTCTGTTCTTTGTCAGTCTTGCCAGAGGTTTATCAGTGTATTGATCTTTTAAAAGAACTGATTTTTTATTTCACTGATTTATCCTCCTATCTTCATTATTTTCTTCCTTCTACTTTATTTTGATTTATGTTGTTCTTTCTCTAGCTTCTTAAATTGGAATCTTAGATTATGAATTTGAGACATTTCTTCTTTTCTAAAATAAGCATTTAATGCTATAAGTTTTCCTCTCAGCACTTCTTTTTCTGCAGCCCACAAAGACTGATATGTTGTATTTCCATCTTTGTTAAGTTCAAAATATTTTCTAATTTCCTTGGAGACTTTTTGAGTGTGTTGTTTAATTTCCAAATGATTGGAGAGTTTACTGTTATCTTTTTGGCATTGACTTCAGGTTTAATTCCATTATGGTCAGAGAGCATATTTTCTATAATTTCAAGTCTTTGAAATTTATTAAAGTTTGATTTATGACCCAGGTTATAGTCTATCTTGCTAAGTGTTCTATGTGCACTTGAGAAAAATGTGTATTCTGCTGTTATGAGTGGAGTGTTCTACAGATGTCAGATTCAGTTGATGGTGTTGTTCGATTTTTTTAAATTTTTTTATTTTATTTTATTTTATTTTTATTATTCTTTTGGCTGCACTGGGTCTTCGTTGCAGCATGCGGGCTCTTCGTTGTGGACTTCTCTCTAGTTGTGGCACATGGGCTTCTCTAGTTGTGGTGCATGGGCTCTAGAGCATATGGGCTCAGTAGTTGTGGTACACAGGCTTCTCTCTAGTTGCGGTGTGTGGGTTTTAATTGCCCCTCGGCATGTGGGATCTTAGTTCCCCGACCAGGGATCGAAGCCACATTGGAAGGCGAATTCCCAACCACTGGACCACCAGGGAAGCCCCCAGGTGTTATTCAGTTTTATATCCTTCTTAAGCTTCTGTTTTCTAGTTCTATTAATGAGAAAGGAGTGTTGAAATCTCCAACTATAATTTTGGATTTGTTTATTTCTCTGTTCAGTTCTGACAGTTTTTGGTTTGTGTACTTTGGAACTCTGTTGTTAGGTACATATACCTTTAGAACTGTTTGTCTTCTTGGTAAACTGACTCTTCTTCAATATGTAAGGTCTCTCTTTATCTCTGGTAATTTTCTTTGCTCTAAAGTCTACTTTGTCAGGGACTTCCCTGGCGGTCCAGTGGTTAGGACTCCGTGCTCCCAATGCAGGGAGCATGGGTTCGATCCCTGGTCAGGGAATTAAGATCCTGCATGCCCCATGGCATGGCCAAAAATAAATAAATAAATAAAGTCTACTTTGTCCGTTTCTTTTAGTTCATGTTTGCATGGTATATCTTTTTCCAACCTTTTACTTTTCAAGTACTACCTATATCATTATATTTGAAGTGAGTTTCTTCTAGATAGCATATATAGTTGGGTCATTTTTTAAATTGAGGTATAGTTGATTTACAATATTGTGTCAGTTTCAGGTGTAAGCTGGGTCATTTTTTTAATCTTCTGACAATCTCATATTTTAATTGATGTGTTTAAACCATTTACACTTGGTATAATTTCTGGTATGTTTGCATTTAGTCTGCCATTTTATTATTTGCTCTCGCTCTCTCTCTTTTTCCTGTTTATTGTTCTTCTGTTTGCCCTTCCCTGCCTTCTTTTGGGTTATTTGAACTTATTATTGTACCTATCGTGATTTTGACTATATCTATTTGCATTAATTTTTATGACTATTTTGGGGATTATAAAATACATAGTTAATTCTTCATAGTCTATTTAGGATCACTTTAACTGGAATGTATAAACCTTACCACCATATAGGTCCCTTTACACTTCCTCCTTCATGTATAAGTGTATTGTATACTGTATCTATATACACTGAAAATTCATCAATGTTAAATTTTTTGCTTTCAACCGTCAAGCATGTTTTATTCTTTTTGTTTGTTTGTTTGTTTTTGGCCATGCTGCATGGCTTGAGGAGTCACAGTTCCGTGATCAGGGATTGCACCCAGGCCACAGCAGTAAAAGCCTGGAATCCTAACCACTAGACCACCAGGGAACTCCCAAGCATGTTTTAAAGAACTCAAGAGGAGAATAGTCTATTATATTTACCAAGATACTTACCATTTCTGTTGTTCTTCCTTCGTTTCTGATGTTCCAAGTTTCCTTCC